TCAATTGCGAATAAAGAAGAGAGCATGTATTTTTCTTCTGACCAAGAGTCTCCATCTTGTGATAATGAGATCCAAAGCAAAGAGGAAAATGTCATATCTGATGATGAAGCTGAAATAGTTGATCTGATTAACAGAGTTGAGCTCCTGAAAAAGGAGCGATCTATTCTTTGGTTGCGGGAATTTAAGGAGTGGATGGATCATGAATCAGAGAATATTGTGGATTGCAGTACATATTGTGGGGTTAATTTGCTTCATGCTAAGGAAGATCATGTGATAAACAAGTCAACACAGAAGGACCATTGTGATAGTTCTAGATATTCCTTTGACGCTCATCAAGCTTCAGGAGATGATACCAGTACAAATCTCTTTGAGTCTGATAGTTCATTTGTTGATACTGGTTCATATGGTGGGGTTGCTTTACCAGGTATTGGGAGCATGAATCTAAGACAGAAGCATCAAAAGTCTTATTTGCATGAAGGGTCTGGTAGTATGTCTATGCAAGGTAGAAGTTCCCAGATAAATAGCTCTACTGTCCAAGGGGTCCATACAATAGTTGAAAATGGAACAATATTGCCGTTGACCACTCATTCATCCTCTGCTTATCCTAGGTCTCCTCCTCATTATGAGGAGGACATTTTGCATCGACGCAACAACTTGGTGGAAGAAATTTTGCAGCTATCTGCGGAGTCCTATTCAGTGGCATCATCTGATAGTAATACAAGCTCTAGTGATGATGATTTATATCAATTTGGGGATTCGTCATATGAAGTTGATAAATCGCAGAATGAGGAGTATTTGAATCCCAAGGCTGGAGGGCACTTATCTTCTAATCCTTTGAAGGATAAAGAACATGGAATTTATCATGGGATGGAAAATGAAAGTTATCTATATGATTCACAAACCTCAAATTCCCCAAAAATTTTAAATTCAAACTCCAATGAGTTCTCCGCTTGCTATCATGATGGTGAAATTGCTCCGTTTGCCAACCAAGAGGCTGATCTGCTGGAGAAGGGAAAAAACAAAAGGAAACCAAGAAGAAGAGTCGTTTCTCTGTTAGAGAATGTGGCTGGCAAGATAAGTAGACCAGAGAAATCAAATGGAAATGGAGATACTTGTGGAGCTGATTTGGTGGATGAGCGAGGGGAACATATTGTTTGTGGGAGTGATTCTCATGAAGTTACTGATAAGAAACAGCTGCGCACAAATTCTGTTATGACCCTGGAGGCTGCAAATGTCACTGGATTCTCTGATGATTTTATAGAGAAATATTTTAATGAGAATATTGCAGATTCCAGAATTAATGAGAGCTGTAGGAATTATATGCGTTGTGATTGTGTACTTGAGCCAGAATCCTTGTACAGAGAAAGGTAAACATTTTGTAATCATTAGGAAATGTTGCCTGTGAAAGACTTTCCCTTTTTTTAAACTTTTGACTTAAAGCACCATAACCCTTGCTATTGAATCCTGGAATGGCTGTAAAATTTGGTTCAGCATGTTGCTAACGGAAATGTGACCTTTTATTTTTCCTCTTTTCTTTTTTTCCAAAAAGGTCTTTCATGCCTTAGTAAGGAAATACAAAATTTAGATTTGTAATTAATCTGAAATGATAGTTCATGTTGTTTTTTTTTTTTTTAACACAGTTGTACCTTGACAGAGAAGATGATTTTGCTCCAATATAGCTTATCTTAGAGATAAAGAATCAAAGTATATTAGATTTTTAGAAATGTTGAGGGGTTTTTTTTGTGAACATGTGAACACTACTTTCAATGAAAATAACAATAACAGGTTAAATCTGCATGGAGCACCAATTTCCTGCTAGACATCTAGTATATTGGTTTTATATATCTTTGCATCTTCGCAACCTCAAGTTGAACTTTGCATATTTGTTGTGTCTTCTTTTTATATCTAATCATGAATCTCTAAGTAGGTTATATGAAAATTCTGTATTTCTCTTTTGTTTTGCATGCAGAGAAGTAGTTTTGTTGCTGAGCAGTGAAGATAAGCTATATGTACTGCTCATTGATGTAGCATTTGATGGGTCAGGTTAGTTATCAAGTCTTTAGAAGAGACCAATTGTTCATTTGATGCTTCTGAATGTTGATTACATAGAAATTTTCTTATTTTAATTGCTGAACTTTGGAACTTCACTTAAATGGCATATTGCAGGAAGCATTTTAAGTTTGCTGGGTTGGCATAGGTTTGGGGATGTTAGAGAAGTTTTAGTCGGTATAGGACTTCAGGTCGTGAGGTTGGTGATTTTGTTGGTACTATTGTTAATTATTGTTAATTAGAAAACGGTTGTTTTGTAAATCTTGAAAACTGTCTTTGCTTTTGTTGGTTAGGGTATACATTGAAAGGGGAGCAACCTACATGTTTCTAACATGGAGCATTGAGAAGTCAAGGCAGTTACTTCATATCTTGCAAGTTTCTGGGCCATGGGCAACAAATAATAAGTGTTTGTTGAAAAGGTAGTCTATTTTAATGCTCGCTTCATATACTAGTGGGAAATTTAATGCCAGATTTTTTGCTTATGCATACTTACAAAATGATTTTTTTTTTTTTTTTTTTAATTTAATGAGCGCTCTATATTTGTATGTATTTTTTTCTTTGTTGTAAGACTGGGGTTGTGGGAATTTATATGGCAGTTTGGAGCAGGTTCAGGTTGAGTTGCTTGAGCAGCAAATTTGTAGAGGTTCAAAACTGAGCATATTCCAATATTCTATGGTGCAATTTCGTCACAGGAAGGATGAAGGTATGCATCTCACTGGTTTAGGTTGATGGTGTGTTATTGCATGAAACTGGTAAATGTCCCTCTGATTCTTGTGATGTAAAGTTTGATAACATAGAGGCATAATAGTTAACTGGCTTTAGAAGTTGATTCTTGTAGCATGACACTTTGTCAGAAGCATGATTCATCAAACCCACTGTTTTTATTCTGTTTTTTCTGGCTTTCGAGTTGAGCATGAAAGGTTAGTAACCAACAAAGACTTCAGCTAGACCTGTTTGCATACAAAAATTCTTGATGCTTTTTGTGTAGTTTGTTAATATAGGTATTGTTAATATTGGTTTTATATGAAAGATTTATTAAATCTATAGGATAGATCAGATTTGTTGTAACCACCTAAAATCCAAAATGTAGTTATGAGTTGTAAATTGAAATGTTCGTAAATGCATAGTTGATTCATGTGTGATTAAATTTGTGAAGCACTTGAATGGAAATATGCACCTCACTAATTCAATTAGAAGCCTAATTCCTATCTTGTGAACTTCTAATTTAATTGCAATTGTTGTTTTATGATTAATATTCTGTGATCAAAATGCTTTGGATATCTCTTAATTTTGTTTGTAATACAAATTTCCATCATAATAGTTTCCTGATTTGATTGAATAATGTGAAACTTCTCAGATGTTATGCATCGGACTTCTTCTAATTATTCTGTCATGCTTTCAAGCAGATACTCTATAATGTGAAAATAACGGGTGGAAATATTTGTGCCTTTATTTTTTGAAACTTTCGCTTTCCTTCTTATGTAACCAAACCATTGGCTATGTATATATGACAATGTTCGAAATTCTCTTATGGACAGAGGATTCATGGCTTCCCAGATCTCTGTTTGTCTGTGGGGGGCATGTGCTTTTGTGTGTTGAAGATCTTAAGCAGTTCAGCAGTTCAGTGGATGCATCTTCACCTCCATATTTCTTGCTTGATTTATGTTGCTCCATCAGTGATGTGTCTGAGCTGGTATGTTCCAGTTTGCATAGGCTTTTCCTAGTTCTTTAGTTCATAAAATTGCTCTACAATTACCACTTCTTGAATGCTGGTTAGTCTGGCCTATTGATTCTACATCCAATGTGCTTTGAACGTTTAATAATTGAGTTTTTTTCATTTGATAATTGAGTTATTTTGTTTGCATCCTCTCTTTACTGTGTTTCTGATATAAATTATGATGGGCTAAATTGGTCTCGTAATGTCTGGCTCTCTTTTCCCTCTTCTTATGCTTTATTTTAGCGCATCTAAGGAACTGCTTTCCCCAAAAGTAAGGTTTTTTGGGCACAATATCTGCCTCATTGTTTTGTGCTGTACTGGTTTCTATTGAAGGTGCAAAAGTTATATCCTTGTTAAGATCATAATTTCATTTTCAGATCATCGAGGCCAGAGAGAGTTGGTTTGTAACCTTAGCCCTTCAACATGCCACAAAAAGGTTCTGCCTCTCATCCAAATCTCAAAAGGATACCAAAACAACTGACAAGGATATCGCAGCTTCAGGTTCTCTGTCATGGAAGCTTAAATGGTTCTCAAAAGAGAGCCTATTCAATTTTGTGGCTTTGTTAAAGGCTATTCATGCAGGGGTAGCCACATCTCCTTTGCTGGTAACATATACTTCGTGAGTGTTGTTTTCATGTTATTGTTAAAGGCTATTCATTTCATTCTTTCTGATTTAGGGCTTTGATTTTCCTTCTCTATTATGTTATATATGTAGTTTGCTTGTATCCTGAGAGTGGCGAGTCAATAGCTTTCTTATTCTTTCATTTGTATTCTTTATAGTTGATCCTTTTCTCCTGTATAAAGTGTACAGTATAGAACATCAAAGTAAATTGTCATCAGTTCAGTTCTTGATTGTCCCTTGATTGTCCTCTTTATTATCCTAAAGACACTGACTTTATGTCTATTGTGCCATTGAAGAATGTGCAGCCGTCACATTTATATGTTAAACACCCTTCTCTTCTATAATTGAAATACTTTCAAGGTTCCACAAAATTGTCAGGAAATCATAAACAAAGCCTGGGGTTCCTTTGAAAGTTGGTACTTTATCTTGAAGTGGCCGGATGCTTTGATTTTTCATCTCTGAGTGCATATTATAAAGTATTTTGGACCCAAAATAAGCATCTGGCTTCAGTCATGCTAACTTAGTTTTAGCTCTCAGATACAATATAATGAAAAGCAATGTTTGTTTTCCTGTGAGATGATGTCAAATTTTTTATAAAGTTTCGGTTTCACCATGACACACGAAAAGGGAAGTGATGTTAAAAGAAAACAGAGTACTGGTTCATTATCTTTATCATGGACTCGTAACACCTGAAATATAAATGTCATAGTTTTTGGTTGTAGTGTTGGATTCTTTCAATGTCATTATCTTTATTATGTGTATCAAACAACCCTCCATTTTGTTATGATTTAATTGAATGAGGGTGGATTCTAGTTGATGAGGTACCAGAGAAGATGCATGCAAAACTCATTCAGAAGATGCAAGCTAGAAGCAGCAATCTACATAAATCATTCTATGAAGTGATGGGAGCAAACAATCCAACCCTCTACAATTTGATGAGGGTAAAGGTCTTCAAGCTCCGAAGAAGGCAAGAAAAGCTCAGACAATAAACAATCAATTGTGACGAAAGAAGGAAAAAATAAGGGTTGCTTGTAAGACACAAGAATATTCTATGATAAATGTATGGCAGCAAATCAGTTATTGGTTTGTTTTTCCTTGATATTTAACAAAATAATCCGAAAAACTCAAAATTAAGGTCTCTTCTCAATTCTCAGTCTCTATGATGAACCATTGCTTTCATTATATCTCTTTAATGGTCCTAAAATGACCTTCATGATTTTTTTTTTTTTAATTTTTTTCTTCTTAGGGTTCCTTTTATTAGTTGATTTCATCAACAAAAATCTTCAACATTGTGGAAGCAGCACATATTAATTTCCACATTTTATGTACTCTATCAAATTACCTATAACATTTAGATATTGTTTAGTAACAAGGAATAATGATGATGAGAATGAAAATTTTATTTTCACTTTGTAAATGCTTAGTTCAAAAGAATGAAGTGAGAATAAAAATGAAGACTATGAATGGGAATGAAAATTATACATAGTTTTATTTCTATGGAGAGAGATAGGAACAAAAAAAAAAAAAAGAAAAGAAAAAAGAAATGAGACTAAAATTATTTTTTCTTCAAAATAATGATATATTATTTTTATTTATTGTGTATCAACTATTTCTGTTACCATTACCATATCTACCTCCTCCATCACCATTGCTTTTTGGCAACGGTGATAAATTTTTTGCTATCACTCTTCAACCATTACCATCTCTTTTATTATATCACCACCAAACTACTTTTATTTCACTCACACCTCCTATGATGGTGATACCAATTTTTTTAAAAATATATAATATACTAATATTGCTATCATATTTGCCTTCCCCTCCTCCTCGTTCACCACCACTATCGTTATCACCACAATCACCTTTATTATTTTTACTATCATTATAGTTGATGAAATTATTTTTTAATCATTATTCTTTTTCTTTTTAAAAAAAACGAGATATTAAAAATTTTAAATTTTATTTTGATTCTTTATTACTATGTCAAACACAATATCAAAATATAAATATCATTCCGATTTTGTTAGTTTTCATTCGATTTCTACATTCTTATTCTAAACTTTTCATTTTTAATAACCAGATGATATCTAAAACGAGTTGATTAATAGTTATTAAATATTTTATTGTTCACCTATTCACAAAACATTATGGACTAGACTTAACTTAATTGTGTATTTTACTATATAATGGTATTTTTGTGATTTTCAAATTATTTTTAGGTATTTTATATGCAATTTTATGTGAATGTCACATTTTGGTATTTACTTTTCTAGACACTTTTGTTTTACTTTTGAACTTTATTTTATCATTGTTGGATCCCTGCATGCAAGGAGGATAGAGAAAAGAAAGAAGAGGGAGGAGAAAGAAACTTACGATGAGACTCATTTTGTCATTTTGACTCTTGATTTTACCTTTAATTTATTCATCTTAGAGAGAAGATTTTGTTTACGATAGTTATAAGTCATGAAATGTTGGAAGAGGTATATTAAAACTCCAAAATATTATGTTTTTAGTTTATTTTAAATTTTTATGTTTTTTATATGTATTAAAATGAGTTTTGGGGTTCTAAATGAATTTATTGATGTTATTTTTATGATTTTGAGATATTTTGAAACAAAAATGATTCTAAAATTAATTTGGAAGATTGGAAACTAGAAATCCTAATTTTTCAATGATTTTTTCGATGAACTCGAGTTCTCCAAAATTTACATCGTTTATTGTGCAGGCCAGCAAATTGTCATCCATTTTTCTTTTTTCTTTTTTTAATTTTATTTAAGGCTAGTCTGTAGGGGCTTGGTTTGTTCTCCAGGCCCAAGCGTGCAGGCCAAGTTTAGTTCATTTTTTTTTTAAAGTAATTTTATTTATTTTTATTATTGATTTTTGTGCAAAAATTATGAAAATCGATTCTTATTCGTTGGGGTTTTCACACAACCCAACGTGAAAGAAATATATATGATAGCTTTTCACAGTTTAAAATAAGCATACATTTCATTGCCCTTGATGGCTAGCATTGATGCATAGGCCTAGCAATAATTTATTTATTTATTGCAGATTTTAAACTCATTTGGCATAATTATGATGAGTAGAAAAATCTGGAATCATTATTTTTATTAGAAATTAACTGTGTCTACGCAAAGATCAATAATTGATTTTTTCATTTTAAGGTTGTATTCTTTATGTTAGTATTTACGGTTCAGTAGAGACAACATAAGCAGGTTTTTATATATTGCTGAAGAACTTCAGCTTGATGGATTTGTTGTTTTACCCTCTTAACTTGCATTTTCATACCTTTTTCACACAGCATGGGGAGATGGTGCTCCTCAAAACTTTAGTCCTCTACAAGCACTTTAGCTAGCAACCTTATGTATTATCGGCTAAATATAGATTGGTTGCTAAGACCATATTTCATGTTTTTTTCTGCTTTGACAGGGTTAGTTAAATATTTTGAAGAAGTATGATAAACGAACAGGAGGATTGCTGCGCCTACCTTTCACCCAACTTGCCCTTCATCAGCCTTTCTTCACAACAGAACCACCAACAAGGTTGGTCCGTGAATGCGAGGATAACCTCGAGCTCCTTTTTCCATTGGAGGAAGAAGTCGTTGAATCGATCAGCATCGTACATGATCAGTCAAATCCATCACCAAGTCAGACAGTAAATACCTCACCTGAGCCATCCTCATCTCTTCGGAAGGAAACTGTTGACATTGTAGCCGCACTCTTGCTGCCAAGAAAGCAATACGAGGTCTTCAAATCTCAAAAAGCAAGCTCCACCTCTAATCCGCTCTCATTTTCATCTTTTTTCAAGAGCCAGGATGACGAAAGTACTGGTGCTGTAACAGCTGCAAACTCAACTTCGAATTCTTCAGCCACAATGCAGGATGGAGAGGAGATTGGTCAAGAAGATGTGCATTTCTGTCTAACTATATACTGCATTGTAGCCCCATTTTTTCTTTTTTGAACGAATTTATTAACCGGTCGAAACTGAATAATGTTTGTTCTGCAGCAGTGTATCATTATTTGCCAGATGCTATAAGCTGCGAATGAAATAAAAAATTGTAGATGTTTCTCTTTGCAAGGATAATTTTTCAGAAGCACATAAATGACTAGTTTTATGGGAGTGAAAACATATCTCTGCTATAAGAGAGTGGTTTTGCTCGGCAAGTCTTGAGAGCATCCTAGGCTGAAAATGCCGGATTTTATTGCAGTTTGCCACTTCCCTTGGAACAGGTTCTGCCTATTTTTTTTGGGAATAAAGCCTTGAACTCATCTGTCCATTGCCATTGCATATTCCTGACACCATGCGCATCAACCGTTTTAACTCGTCTTTTAATTGGATATAGGAGTTCCGAAAGTTGACTGGATGTAATGAGTTCCTCTGCCTCTGGGAACAATTACCAGCAGAGCTGCAATGTAGAACTGGCTCTGATGGGACAGAGTCACAGAAATACGTAGTGGACGGGTAGAATTTGCTTCATGAGGGTGGGGATATTGAGTAGTTATTAGTCGTGTAGTTTTGGTGCGCACTCAATTTCCTGTTTTGCCATTCCTGTTTGTGGTTGTACTCGAAGTTTCCTTTCTATCTTACATCTCAATTCTACTTCTGACCAACAAACAATGTAATGGGCAAAAATGAACAGAATTGTGGGGGAAAAACTGATGTGTATGTGAATTTGATTCTATATCCAATCCTACATCAACTCTCTTCTCTGCTATACATGTTCATACACGCTTGTCTTCATTGCCGGCATAGTGAAAAGGCAGAGGAACTGATTTAAATGCCCGATACTTCCCAACATTGTTCAAATGTTCATTCTCCAGCCTGTTCGATATAAATCATGTATCAGATTTTTAAGCAAATATATTGCTAATGATGCAAAGATTCACTGTCCACAACATACATTTATATGCGATAAGAACTGCTCTACATGCTTGCTACTTATTAGGGCAGAAAAAAACAGCGCAAGACAAAAAAGGTAAACAGTGTTAGAAAAAGCTAAATGCAGTGTTTATACGTTTCAAAAAAGGATTGTGCTTCACACCTAATTGTAGAAAAGTAAAGGAGTTTGAAAATTTTGTTACAACAAAACAAATTAGGTTACCTATACATCAGAATCAGTTGACCCTTCTGCATAGAATATCTTCTGTTAACTACTAAATTGAAGTATGTGCGTTCATCGATAGATTGTTTGGTTTGAATCTAAGACATAACTACTCTCCACTCTTTAATTCCAACTTCATGCTCTAGCCACTAGTCATTTTTTTTTGTTATTTCTGGTGGAAAGTAGTAAGAATTGAAGCATATCGAGTTTGAAAAAATGATGGTGGTCGCGATAGCAGATCACAACTTACAATAATACTAAAATAATAACGGGATGCTCCGAAATTATTATATAATGACTATTATCTAACGTAACGGCCATTATTTAAAATTATGAATTAAGACTATGAAGATTTATATCGTACCTGAAGAAATTCCAAATGCCGCGGCGTATTATCTCCAAGCAAGCAACAATTGCTGTTAAGGCTGTTCTGTGCAGGAAAGGTGCTTGTCTAAAACCTAGCACTGTCTGCATCCATGCAAGTCTTAACACAACATTTACCACCTGCCATTTCCCATAAGTTAGGGTTAACTAGGAATGAAATGAGTACTCGCTAGGAAAAGAAAAGACATTTAAGGCATATATCCTGTTACCATCGCTACAAAGTAAACACTTTTGTTTGGTATAACAAGTTTATCTCTCAGCCATGGGTTTCTTGAATTCCGGCGAAGAAGTCCCCAGTCAACTACAATGTCCCAGTACGTTGCAGCAATCGTTGCAACACCTGAAGTGGCTGCAGCAAATATCTTCAAAGTCATTCCCTTTCTCAGATCATAAGCTGTTCTCGCGGCCACAGCTATGACTGTTGAAAAGTATTTTAGTCCATTGTAAGCTTGCCACGGGTCTTTCTCTTCAAACAGGCGGCGGAGGCACTAAAACATTGCAGAGTCAGAAAATTGTTCCAAGTACATAATTTTATGCATCGGGAACGAAAAACACTGAAAAAAAGAAGAGACAAATATTGGAAAAGAATGATGCTATAGATGAACTCTTGCTTTATCAGCAACATACCTGAAGGAAACGAAGCCAATATGGAATGATTGCTACAACAAAGTAAAAACTCTCAAATACTTTACTTCCACTACATGTGTTATTCCTCGTTGTGAAGTCCCCCCAGCCATAGTAGCAGATGTAAAATTCTAAATTTCTGAGCGCTTGGACCTGAAATTTGATAGTGAGAAGGTTAACAAATGAGACCAAATCTTTTGAGAGGTTAACAAATTTGATACTTAGTCTGTCACTAAGTAATATATGTAATAAACATATCCAAAACCAAATCAGGGAGAACCTCGATTAATCATATAACTCTCAAACTCTAATGGAATCCCTAGCATTTACGAAGAATGAGACGGTAGGAGACCTTACAAAGCATTACTGACGAAAAATAGAGTGAAAATTATCAACATATTAGAACAGGAGATATCTGCACCTGACTGGTAAACTGATCAGCCAAGAAGAAATCCGGCAGGGTAACCTACAGAAACAAAAAGCAAACTTGAGTTTTGTAAGAGAAAAAATATTGCTATGTATCTGGGATTCTTAATCCTGTTACCTTATAAAGAGGAGCAAAAAGACAGTGAAAAGCGCATTGGATCAGAAAGAACCGACTCGATCGATATAGGATGTTCAAAGGACAGAATATGATGACAAGCACAAGCTGCAAATAGAAAACAATGCTCAGGCTCAGCAATAAAATGTTATCATCTCACAAGTTAATCAAAACATAGCGTTTAACTAAGAAAGTTACACCTGAACAATGAAATAATAGATCAAGCGCAGCGTATAGAAGATTACGTACAGTGAGCAAGGCCAAAGGAATTAATTCAGTAACTGCTATGAAGCTTTTTGTTCTTGGGTCCATCTCCATATCCAAATTTGAGAGGACACCACCCAATGCAAGCACTGCAAGACCTGAACCAAGAAGGAGGACTTCTCTATAACCCAGTTCTGTTCCTTGCTTAAACCCAAATATGAAGGCATAGTTGATCCGATAACGCTTCCAATAGTAAATGTTAGCAGCAAACATGAGCATATGCAGGATAATGAATCCAAAAAATCTGCAGTAGAGCAAAGCAAAATTATGATATCAAACAGAAAGAAACATCCTGAAGTCTTACAAGCAAAAAACACCAACAACTTACGAGTAAAGTGGAAATATGTTTTCCATATACCGAGGACCTCCTTTACTATTAAGGATATCTCTGGCATGTATAAGCAAAATGAGTGCTATCACAAGCGCTGCTGAGCAGCCTGCGAAGAAACCTGCAGATATAGAAGGATTTAGCAAATTTAATGGATTCAACTGTTGAAAAGCATATATCAAGGCCTGTATTTCATATTCAAAACTTTCGAGAAATCCATTTTTATACAAGGCAATGCAAATTCCTTCGAGTACTATTGCATCAGGACACTTTTTAACCTTCACAAGCATATCTTACCCACTGTAAATGTAATTCTATGTCTTTCCTTTCTGGGCTTTGGTCTTAAAGTTTTCATTCCTTTTCTATGATTCCCATTTGAAAAATGCTTAATGAAGGTTGCCTCCACCCTCTCCATGAGCTTAGTAACCTGTGGAAGGAACAAATTGAAACAAAAAACAAAAAAGCAATCCACCTAGTGAAGAGACAGAACTCCCTAGTTGTCTAACCTCATCAGAGCTGCCAAGATAAGAATTGTCCACCATATTCAAGTAAGCCTTGGATGCATTACGCATGGTGATCTGCATTAACACAAATAGTACAATTGACTCCAAGAGCTCCAGTTAATTTAATTGTTGCAAACAAACAGAACCTACGGTACCTTGTCATATTTTTTCATGATCTTGGAGAATGCTAATTGGTTCAAAAAACTGTTACATCATTCAGTAGATCAGTCACCTGTATTGAAAACTCAAAAACTATGTTTTGTGTTGACTCCTACAGAAAGAGGAGGAATGACAATTACCAGTAACTTCTTAGAAATCGAAGCTTTCTGTAGAATTCGACAAAAGCCTGAGTCATGAGTTGCTCCGCGTTCCTCAGTTCTTCCTTGCTGTATGACAAGTCTGACTTTGAACTTGAGATGATATTCTTCACTGTCGATACTGGAGTTTCAGGCTCAACATTGATCATTACATGATCCAGAACTTCTAGCGAAGCCGGTCTGAAGGCCTCCATATTTTGCTTGACTCCAGTGGTTTTCCTCTGGCTATTGGAATTCTCATTGTTGGTTCCTTTGTTACTATCTTCTACATTTGCTTCAGCACTCATCTCAACTTCTTGAATCACCTCCATGCGTGACCATCCTTCACATTCGAATTAGTGTTAGATTCAAGAGCAATCAGACGTTTGGCACAATCAAAACCAAAATGTACTACCATCTATCTTCACCATCAATTTCTTAAGCAATTAAATAAAAAAAAAATTCTTGAAATACTATCTTGAATATCAGGGAATTCTTGGAACAAAACGCTTTTTTCAAAGAAAGAGGAGGAGGAGGAGGGGGGGGGGGGGGGGGGGGGGGGGTAGGAATTGAAAAAAAAAACAGAGGAAAAAAATTATAGAATACAACACAATTCTTTCAGGTCTCAGAGCTCAGATTTCTCTAACCTGGATTTCTGCCGTTGATTGGAGGATGAACAACCGATGCTGACACTGAGGAGAAACCATGGGTGCCAAGATTCACAATATTAGACCCTCCGACCACCGGATTATCGACCCTGATCCTCAGGGCAATCAAGGCATCCATTTGCTTACTCAAAGCATCTGCCTCTCCCACCACTTCCTCTACTTTGTTCTTGTAAAAGTTGATTACTTTATTAAACTCATCATCAAGCCTCCTAAAGAACACAAGCTCGTACTCTCCTCCTTCATCTGATGCATTGAGAAACAAGGTCTGGTAATGCCCATCTCCTTCCGCTTCTTGTACCGCACTCACTAGTATCACTTCATCTTCACTCTTTCTTGGTGAACCTCTATACCGGCCTGTTAGGCCACTAAAGGCTCTATAAAGAGAGACCCTTCTCTTCAAAGAACCATGTGCGGATGCTGCTGCCACAGGTGATGGCGTGCTTCTTTGCTTTCTGAAACGCAAGACCTCTTTCAAGGTTTGTTTCAGATAATTATAGTCCATGTAAGCTTCTTGCCATTCCTGCACCATCTGTGCTGCAAATTCTTTCCCAAACTTCATCCTATCTGGAGGAAAAAATGCTTCTGCAGATCACCAATGTTTGTTCTCGGCTCTTGTCCAATGATTTGTTCCAATTAAAAAAGGATAATCAAGAGAAGATGAAAAGAAGCTTCTCACTCAGCAACAACCATTTTCAACGTGCTTTCCATATTCTCTACACTATTTCGCTCTAGGAATTCTTCAACAACATATATATAAAGCTAGCAGTTAACAAGGCATTACCAATAGCATTAACTTTTAAACACGTAAAACTAGTAGTAGTTTCTGTGTAATTCTTTATTTATTTATTTTTACTGGGATTCGACCACACAATGCCAGGTATATTTAAAACATAAAAAAAAGCAAATTAGGAAGTTTTCCTTTTTGAAGATAGATGTTTGGTCAAGAGAATTATGAACATTTAGCCTTTGATTACGGTTGTCATCTACTGTTTATATGGAAAGAAACACCAAGCGTGTCTTTTTTTCTTTTTAGATTTTTATGTGTCCACGCCACACGGCTTATTCCAGCTAACAAAAATTAGAACCTGTGTCCTGCTTCCTAGGATGCATTAGGAAAATAAATATCACCTAAAAGAGAAGATTTATGTGGCCAAAGATGACTCTTTTAGGTGAATTGATTAGATATAGTTTAAATTAACCTAAAATAAATAGTTTATTCTATAGCATGAGTTTTCAATCTGTAATTGCATTTTTAATTATATATATATATAAGTCTTTAATCTATCATTTCGATCAATTTTTCTGACTATAAGTAAATTTTTTTATCAAAGTACCTTTGAATAAAACGCAGAAAAAAATGTCAAAAGACTTCAAAAATTGAACATGCTAGTCGTGTAGTTTTAAGTGGTTTTTTTTCTCATTTCAATTAGGGGCATTTTTAAAAAAAATTATGATAGGAAAAGTTAATCGAAATGACAAATTAGAGACTTAAACATTCTTTAAGAATCAAGAACATAATAGATGCAATTAGAATAGTAAAAACAGATTAGAGACTCGAGTTATTATATAATGATATGATAAGCTATTTACCCAAAAGTAGGATTGTCAATGGAATAGATCTTGACCCAAATTAGATCTGAATCGGATTCAGTTAAATGGATCTAGCAAGCAAATTTTTTTATTTAATTCGAGTTTGATTATGATCCAAATATGTTAATCGGTTTATTATATAGATCAAATATGAATTTATATTGATCCATTTGATAATAACTTGATCCGAAATTAAAGATAATATTATTTTTAATAAATATAATATTTTAAAATATTAAAGATTTAAATATAAAAAAATATATAAATATGAGACTCGGGTTGAAATTTATGATTTACTTAAATTCATTACATTTCTACTTTTTATGAATTAATCAATTATGAAAATTATTATTTGCCTTTGTTTTTATTAATGTGCATGCTTTTATATATATATATATATTGAGTGAAGGTGTAGAAACAAGCATTGGATGTTAGAATTTGAGATACTAAAAAACTTATATTATTAAGGAATCGATGAGCATTGTGTTTTTTTTTTAAATAAGAAAATGTAATGTTAATACTTATTTAGTTATGTGATACTACTAATACATATAAAGTAACATGCATTGATAAATTTTTAAGAAGTAACTTGGTACAAATATATGATAATGTTAATATATTTTCTTTTCTTTCTTTCTTTATAGGCATTGATTTATAGTACTATCATCTTAGAATTCGAATTAACAAATATTTATTTTGCTATACCGAGCGGATAAGCAACGAAGATTATTTATTATTGTTTTCTTTTAGTTTTATCGTACTTTCTTACCTAGTTCAAAACAAGCTTTTAATAGAATTATTTGATTTTATGTCTTTGAGTTGTTTGGCATTTTGAATTTTTTTACAAAATTGATAAATAAAAAATATTATCTTGATATATATATATATAATACAAGTAGCGATATAAATATATTTAAGATTCAAGCAATATATTACATGTAGCAAACATGAAGTTTTTATAAAAATCAAGTGATAAATCCGATAGAACTCGAATATGACCCGAATTCATTGGGATCCGAATCTACATTTACATTTTCAAAATTCGATCTAAATTTATAAGATTTGATTTCATTCGTTTTATTAAACAAATCGGATTTGAATATCCTCTAATCCGATTCGAATTCGATCCATTGGTAGTTCTATTCAAAAGTACCTTAAATTTTAGCCTTGTACAAATGTAATTTTTCGTTTTTGTCAATTAACTAATTGTGGGTTTCATTAATTCAACTGTCCATTTGAATTATTAGAGTCTTTTTTTGTCTTGTCGATTTTTCTTTATATTGAAAAAACAACAAGAAAAACTTTAAACGTATACATCAATCATTAGATTAATAGAAACCAGTATTAGATCTTATATTAAAATCTCCAATATTTTTGGAGTGTTTTTTTTTAAATTCAATATTATTTAGCATATGTATGTCTAGACTATCCACATTCATTTTTGTAAACCAAAAAAAAAAAAGAAAAGAAAAGAAAAGAAAAGAAAATTATGAATTCTAATAAAAATAAAACGTGCAAAGGATTTGAGGTGGATAATAAAATTGAGCATTATAAATCAAAACAATATAATTATTCAGGAATATGTGAAAACAATGCAAGAGATTAATGATATTAACAACTTGAAGTTAGTTTTTGTTGATGTATATATCCGAGATTAATTAACCTAGATTTATTTTGCAATCATATGATGTCTATGCTGACTAATTAACCCCACTTGATTTACAAACAAGTTTAATCCATTATTAGTTGTCCTAATCCATTTAGACATCAGAATGTATATATCCTTGGAACAGGCCAAAAACCTATTAAAAGGACATGAAAATTAATGAATCAATTTATAGGAGAATAAAACATTGTGGAAAAAGATAATTGGGTTTGCTCCTTTTATTGTCAACTGTTGTTGTCTCAACATGATTCTTAACATATTTTCAAACTTCGATATACCAATAGGATTTTGAGTGCTGCATATCATCGTGTCTCGACCAAATACTTCTCTCTATCTGCTTCCCTTATATTTGTAATTTCTTATTAAGAGCTGCCACAATACAACCTATAAATTAATGGCTATCGGTCGTAAGCTAGCATTAGAAGCTTGCTTACATTAGTAGGTGGGTGGAGAATTACCTTACACCTCCTTTTTCTTTTTCTTTTTCTTGAATGAGGTCAAGGAACAACAGCCACTAACAATAGAAGAGGCAATTAAGAAAACAAATTAAAAGACAGTTTTCAACTTTTTCTCGAATGAGGCTGAGCCCATGACTACATGAAAGCATAAAATTGAACAAGGGACCGCAATGATAGTCAGCCGTGCAGTATTGGGTTACAATTAATTAAGGATTCATTTCTCAGTGGTTGAAAATTTGTAATAATACCTAAACCAATAAATTAATCTTTCAATACAATTACAGTAGAGCAGTACCGACCATATGATTAACTTAATTGCCAACTAAAACCTTAAAAAAAAAAAAAAAAAAAAAACTTTGATTTTGCAGGCACAAATGAAAAGGGAAGGCTACCAAGCCTATACCTTAAAACAATATTTAAAGAGTCGCTCAAAAGTCCAAACAACTGAAATGGACATCAACTTACATAAAACTACACTCAAAAGCCAAAATTCATCTGAACAGCTAGCAGATGATAGATTTTTTACAGTAAAAGATGGCAGCGCAAATGTTAATTAATATAAGTAAGGATAACAGTTGACTAACACTACACGAGGGAGGGAAAAACGAAGAAGAAAAAAACTGTGTATAGTCTCAGATAGATTAGTGTTGGTAGAAACTTCCTTCCGTGAATTAGTGAATGATAAGTACAAGTTAAGACATTCATAAGCTAGCATTGGTATTCTTAATGACTTGTGGCTTCCATAGTACGTAGTAAAAGTTATTTGTAACTCCAGCTGGTTAGTTAGTCAACGTACATATCTACAAATTAAGGCATAAATTAGTCATGATATTTAATTATGGAATACATTTCAGTAGAGACAGCAAGTATGAGTGGATAGCGACTTAATAATCTGAACATGAAAGGTCATGTATAAAAGATATATGGAGAAGATTCTTTTTTTATTTTTTTTTAATGGCATTGACTTGAGCAACTGCTTAAGGCTCTCGTAATGAAGACTTTTTAAAGAAATCAATAGCTAATGTACATTAAACCACAAAAGGATCAACTAATAGAAGAAGCATCCCAGCCAGTGGCATATAAAACAATTTAATTAGTCAGAGCTGAATATATACGTGTGAGAGAACGATAGTAGTTTGATGCAGATTTTACTATATATACGTGATAGTTTGAATAAAAAACTACCTAATTTTGATGGCAAACTTGCCCAAATAATATATAGTATCAAGAATATGATCATCACACCGTGCTATTTTGCTACATGAATGTACTGTAACGAGTAACCTGGCCATAAAGGTGACAAATGGATGACTTGTCACATAGGAAAGGACAGAGAGAGAGAGAGAGAGAAGATTTTTCTTAAACTAATGGAAGCAGTAAACAGAATCAAGTTGAAGATCTTATTGGTTCTAGGATAACTTTTCCTGATTCAGTTCAAACAAACCAGCATATATAATACTCCATCCCTTCTGCATCCTATTTACATTGTTTAATAAAAAGAAGGGTACTGATGGTTGCAGACAATCCCGATCGAAGAAATGTCTGATTCGAATAGTACACCATCTACCTCATTAGTCATGCCTTGATTTTTCGTCTCTGAGTGCATATTATGAAGTAATTAATTTTGACCCAAAATAAGCATCTGGCTTCAGTCATGCCAACTTAGTTTTAGTTCTCAGATACAATATAATGAAATGCAATGTTTGTTTTCTCGTGAGACAATGTCAAAATTTTTATAAAGTTTCGGTTCACCATGACACACGAGAAGGGAAGTGATGTTAAAAGGAAACAGAGTACTAGTTCATTATCTTTATTATGGACTCGTAACACCTGAAATATAAATCTCATAGTTTTTGGTTTTAGTGTTGCATTCTTTCAATTTCATTATCTTTATTATGTGTATCAAACAATCCTCCATTTTATTATGATTTAATTAAATGAGGATGGATTCTAGTTGATGAGGTACCAGAGAAGATGCATGCAAAACTCAATCAGAAGATGCAAGCTAGAAGCAGCAATCCACAAACCCTTTTTTTTTTTTTTTGAATTAAAAAAAAAAACTTTGATTTTGCAGGCACAAATGAAAAGAAAGGCTACCAAGACTACAACTTAAAACAATGTTAAAAGAGTCATCAAGTGGCTCAAAAGTCCAAACAACTGAAATGGACATCAACTTAAATAAAACTACACTCAAAAGCCAAAATTCATTTGAAGAGCTAGCAGATGATAGATTTTTTACAGTAAAAGATGGCAGTGCAAATGTTAATGTAAGTAAGGAGGATAACAGTTGACTAACACTGCACGAGGGAGGAAAAAAAACAGTGTATAATCTCAGATCGATAGATCAGTGATGTCCATCTTAATTATCCGACTTCCTATAGATATGCATATATATATGAGCTGACTAGGCTTGATGTATATAATACTAAGATTAGCCTGCAAAAATATCTAAAGCATCCCTTAAAACAATCCCTTAAATACTTAAAATAAACAGAATGCTTAAAAATTAAAAACAATAAATTAACTGTGCAAGGAGTTTTTTTTTTTTTGCGTAATAAACGGGACATAATTAAGCCCAAACTAAGAAAATATTGAGCTAAAACGAGGTAAAGCTACCCTAATCGTATCCACTGATAGTAGAGATGAAATTGTGTAAGGAGTTTTTTTTTTTGTGGTTCTGTCAACTTCAACAATTTGAACTCCAAGCTGACTCAGACCAGTGGCCAATATTTCCAATTTCAACTCTTTATCTACCAAAGAGAACACCGTTATTTCACATCTCATAGTTTGCAAGTATACTTAATAGCTAGGCACCACTAACAACAGTAACTACAGCCAGCCAAGATTAATAAACTCACAGGGTGGGGCGCCACTACTTCTTTGCTTTTCAAAATGTATCATTATCTCATGCGGTCAAGAAGTAGGGCTAGTTTGAACACGATTTGAATGCTTATTTTGTTGTTATGGAGGAAAAGATATGAACGCAAATTAATTTGTTGCCCATACTTAAATAGAATATAAGTAATGAGAAGCTACAAATTACTTATGTCCATACGTACTTAAATAGAGTGTAAGTAATATAATTACTTAATTTTTTAGATTGAAATGTTTTTTTAATATAATATTGAAATCTTGATGATTAAATAGTTATGAATTTAAATCGTAATGTCAATCCCACTAATCATATGGATGTTAACTGATAAATTCAATGTGAAAACTAGGCAGATCTATAGCATGAGTAGAAATCATTTTAATATCGCTGATCAAATCTCATTAGGTCTTGTATCAGCTGAATAAGAAGCTCTTTCTTCTTAGATCACAAAGCATGCACTGAGCTGAATTTTTATGCGAATGCCACTAAAATTGAAGTTTTTTTTTTTTTTTTTCGTGTAGATGCTATACGTACTCTATCACAGTTCTATTCTTGTAGATTTTCGTATGGTTGTTTTGAGCCTGCCGTAGTAATTCAAATAAATATTTCATAAAAAAAAAAAAAAAAGAATTGTTGTGAAAGAAATATCCAAAGAACCTTAGTGCTTCAACGTTCATTTATTTGCTGAATGTTATGGAATAAGATATATATATATATAATCTCAAGGCAAATTGAGAGTACTATATATTGGATTAATGCATGAAAACGAAAAAATAAATAGGATGATGGAGGAGAAACTAATTATTTACTGCATGATTCTTCTGATTTGATTCCAGGAATTGAAGTTGGCCAACTTGGCAAGAAAAATGGTAAGCATCTATCAGCGGCATAGCAAGTTTCCTCCTTTTCTTTAGGAAGAAAGACAGCTTCTACCGTTTTAGTCTTGATGTTGCACGAGAGAAGACAACGACGGAACCACAAATATGCAACGTCTCCATCAATTGGACAAAAAGCCATGACACTCACCAACTCTCCCAAGATCATGTCTTCAGCAAAAATCGAAGGAACTTTTGATATCAAATCAGATATACTTAGATTAATTTTGTGCTTCAAACTCCATATTGCAGAATTGCTGAAGTCTTCGAGTTCCCAAACACAAAGAGATAGAGGTAAGGAAAACAGCCTACGAGAAAATGCCCGGATGCGCCCTTCACTTTCTCCGATCGTATAAAAGCCATCACTTATATCTGAGGGCAGATTAACACAGTTGCATCGACTAGGATCTTTGTGAGGATCATATGTGAGGATATGTACTGCTGTGTCCACACCCAACAAGCATATTTTTGCAAGCAATCAAAGGCCGACTACAACTCCAAACAAACCCTGAAGCTCCGTGCACACTTATTTCGCTCCAATCACCACCAAGTGAAGAAAAAATATTTATTTTGAATTCATCTGTGGACACCTCAAAGACGTCACTGGCCTGAATTAAGACCACCTTGTACTGCGTAAAGTTTGAAAATAATCCTTCCGCAATGTTATAATATTTGCAGACAAAGCCAACGTACACAGGTTTATATTGAGGTGGTTCAGGAAGCGAAACCCATTGTCTGGTAAAAGGATTTGAAACGATGTAAAGCTCACGATTTTTGTAGGTTGCACTTAATAAAACTAAACCGTTGCAAGACCCTTCCAAAGCAAACCTATCGAATTCTTCTAAGAAGCTGAAACAAAAGTGACCATGGGAATTGAATGGTGGTCCTGTAGATGCTACCTCTATCACGCTTGATCTGGAATTGGGGGATCTAATGTACTGGAAAACCAGAGAATAGGTAGGTTCACGAAATAGGATGTACTTGTGAGCAAAGTAAGGGCCGGATATCAGAGAGAACCAACGTTTGCAGACAGATTTGCATTGATGAGCAGATTTCATATGGGCCAAAAACTGAGACTGACTCAGACTAGCCCAGCTAACAGATTTTGTAACTTCACTTTCTCAGCTATTTTCCTCCTTCACGACAGCATCATTTCAACTCGAGCCCATAAAAGCTATAGATATAGACCTGAAATTTTCGATGGGTTTAGACTTGCATTGATAGAACGTCTGTGAATCCAGTTCACGAATTTGCAAAATCAGAATTCTGCTAGGACTTCTCAACGACTTTCGACGCGCGCGCCGGCCTCTATGGTAGAATTAGTCGGGAGCCCGAGAGGCGGTGGTTTACCCTGTGGCAGATGTCAGCTGTTCGAGTCTGCTTATCTCCAACTCGTGAACTTAGTCGGTACAAAGTTATATGATAGCACTCAATTTTTCTGGTTCGGCAGTTCGATTTATGATTTATCATTTATGGACGTTGATATGATCCTTCTATTTAACAACACCTTAGGATGGCATAGCCTTAAAGTTAAGGGCGAGGTTCAAACTTACGGTGGATACCTAAGCACCCAGAGACGAGGTTGGACGTAGTAAGCGACGAAACGTTGAACTGGGTTTGGATCCCTTCGTGACAATTGTAAGCCTCCATTCTAGTTTTCTACTGAACTAACAATCACTCAGAACAGAGGTCTACAACTCATAATACATCCACAAATATAAAACAACATCAAAATCGCCTACCTAAATCCAAACGAAAATTTCATACTACAAAACCTGCCCACATCATAAAATATGATATAAGCAACAATATTAGGTATATAAGCTTAATAAAAGACTAATTGCAGAAGAAATTAAATACATAAATATGACACTCGTCAACTTTCTTATACTTAACTTTTGTATGCCTTCAAATAAAACACAAACTTGATTTAAGCCCAATATCATGAATCAACATTGTTGTCAAACTTAAAAATTAATCAATTTCATTTAAAAAAGAGTAAACTAAATTGATAGACCATCACATAATAAACTTTCTAACTCTTAGTATTTAGGATAAGTGTTTTGCTCATATTCATTCCTTGAAAATATACCACTATAGGCTTGCTTATCATCTAATCTTCCTTGAAAATATACCAGTACTATAGGCTTGCTTATCATCTAATCTTCACCTTCCAGATCACACGTATAACACAAATCAAAACGACTTTTTCAAGGATTGTAATGGGATTCAAGGAACATGCAAGGAATGTTATCTATATGAGAGGTAAAACCAAAGAACTTAATAGATCATTTGAAACATAAAGCCGGATAAATGAAATTATTAGGACCTAGAATCTATCATTTCAAAATCAATTACTATTGATATATTTTTTAATAAAATATTAAAAAATATATTAAGTGTTAATAAAAAATAATTAAAGCACAAGTTACTTAATTATTACTTATCAGTTTGAAATTGTTGAAAGTTTCATTTTCAAAAAGGCAATTAAACATTCAATTGCAAATGGCTTTCTTGACATTTATTTGCAATGTTTTTCTTTTTCTTATCATTTTCAGCATTTATTCAATTAATTATCCAATAGATAATTTACATACTATATATACAAGATTTTTCTTCATATAATAGTGTAAAAAAAAAAAACACAATTATAATGATAATATATTCTTGCTTATGAGAAAGAAAAGTGCAGTGGTATTTTCTAGTGAAGAAAAATAATTCTTCATGTTTTTCATTCATTAATCTCTCGCTATAAAGTCATATAATGTTTATTTGTTCTTTTTGTGGATAAGAGTGGTGCTATTATTTTTAGAGTTTCAAGTCTTACAAATAATGCAAATTTGTGAATACATGACAAGATGGTCGAGCTTGTTGTATCCCCGAGATGACGTGCAATATATTCTTTATCCATTGCATCGGATAAATTATACGAGATGGCACGTATCGTCTCAAGAAACCTTGTCGTGCTTCGAACCGAGTCACCTAAAAATTATGGCAAAACTATTTTGATAGTTCGATCCTTTTTATATCGCGAAACATGATACTCGTGATTTTAATCATTAATTTTTCTAATGATCAAAGTAAAAAGTTTTAATTATTTATTTATTTTAATTTACAATAAATTTATGTGCAGCAGAAAGAAGAAAATGAATAGTGTTTGGTACTTAAAATTGGAGAGTTGCCAAACTGTCATTTTGGTCTTTATTGTTTCAAAAGTTTCGCAATTACACTCTTAAGATCTTTGATTTTGGTTTCTGTTCTTTTTAATTCTATTCAATTGTGTTCTAAGTTGTATTTTCTTAATAATTAATCCTATCCTTTTGTATTTTTTTTTCATATTTATGTTAAGATAATTAAACAAAAAAGGAAATAAATCCCTTCTTTTTTTTTCTTTTTTTTTGTATTTTCTTTCTTCTTCTTTTGGTTCTTGTTTTCATTTTCAATTTTTTTCTATTTTAAAAGGATCAATATAATTAAACTTTAATGATAAAAACAAAACTAATAGTAATAATAATAAATAAACAAATAAAATTCATGGATAATCTACACTATAAATTAAAAATAATAATAAATAAAATTATAAAATAATTAAGGGGAGGCAAATTTGGGGGTTATGACAAGTAGCATCCTTCAGATTGCAAGTCAATCAAATCTACATCCTCTCTTTAGAGTATCTTAAAAAAGTCACATCTCATATCAATTTTAGAAAAATAAATTCTTTCAAAGTTATAAAATTCAAAATCAAAAGTAAAAAAATTAAAACAAACTTCCTTAACCATCAAACCAACCCATTTAATTTTTTATTTATTTATTATTTATTTTTATTTTTTGTCAAATCATCAACTCGATTTTTTTTTTTTTTATCACGGACTCCAAATTGTGTGAACTAGAACTACAACAAATGAATATAATCAACAAAATACAAAAACTCTTTATTCGCAAAGGCTATCCAATATGGCTAAATATATTAACCATACAATTCCTGCTTTTCCTTTATGTATTAAAATAAATTTTGAAATGGAATCACCAAAGTTTTACTATATTGAAATAAGATACATATACCATAATCTTCACATAAGCATAAAAACCACTTCAGTAGAGATACATGCTCAACCCAAAATTTGCTTCATCCCAACTTCTTCACATCCTTCACCACTCAATGTTGCGCCATATCGTCTTTTAAACCCGAATGGATGTTATTCATGCACATTTAGTTAATAAAAAGAGAGAACAATCAGAAAGCAGCTTGCACCAAAATTTTCGGATATTTTCTACTCTGATCGGCAGTTCCACAATCCTTTAGCTGTATTCTTGCATACGAAGTATGAGAAAAATATGATTAACCAAAGTAAAATCTTTCAGTACAGACTACCTATCTTTGGCTCCTTTTTGGCCTTAGTCTCTTGAATGCCATGAATGTTACAGCGGCAGATAGAGAATACCTGTACACACGCAGAAAAATAAAGACAGAATTAGTAGCTTCAAAAATCTATTGATCATGATTTCAACTAACGACCATCACTTAACAGATTCGAACACCCCCGTTACTACTATTTGATGTTATAGTCTTCGTTGCCATTTCACATAAATAACATTGTTACTATTATGTAACACAGCTATTATTGTTATTTATCAAATAACAGTGTTATATTTATTTTAAATTTTTTGCTTTTTTTTCAAAAAAAAAAACTTGAATCTATTATACGCTCTTTTATATGATACCAACTTGAATTTTACATCTTGAAGTTGTAATGTATTTTATTATTTTTTATATAATACTAAACTATTAGAAGTATTATTAATTTTTTTAATAATAAATTCAACTATTGATGTATGATATTAAATTATTAGAAATGTTATTATTATGCTTAATTAATAAAACTGTTAAAAATATGTGAATCGGAATAAATTTATTAACAGTTGCTAATGTATTTACAAAATCGATTGCTACGACTATTGTTTCACTACCACATTAAGCTGCGACTTGTGATCTCAATTGTGACTGTTTTTACAACCACGTCCACTATTTAAAACTATGATATTGATACACTGAAAATTGCTCCTTGAGAGATCAAAAAGTTCATGCTACACGAATAGGCATGGTCACTGAAAATCTCTTCTCTCATAGTCTCTTCACCTAAAAGAAAATAAGGTTTAAAACCAGGTGTTTGGTATGCTCACCTAGAACCTCTGGCACAGAATTTCTTTTATGACAATAGCATGTCATACTTTTAGCATGGTTCCTCTGAAGCTATTTAAGTGCAAATTAACCTTAAGAAGATAAAAGTAAACTACAGAATCACAGACCAACAACATAGACTTTAGAAAAAGGGATCTAATAGGAAACGAGTTAGAAATTTCTCTGTTTTAATCCTCTCTTGACCATAGGGCAATGCCTCATCGGCTGTCCCTTCTAAATCTTGAGGCCTTGGTGAGCAGAATGAAAACTACACATAAGGGAACAATATATACACAATAATAACATATAATATCAAAGCACATGCTGACAGACAAACTGCAAGTACATAGAAAAAAATCAAGAGAGCATACCAAGTCAGTGTATAATTGAGATGGTCCTGTGGCATGACGGAACTGCGAATCAAGTCATTGACATCTTTTGGTACAGGGTAAGGGCAGCCTGAATTAAAATTTTTATTAATGTCTTCCACATAGATGGTATTCTCAGGAAGCCCACAAGCACGGGCTATTGCGTGAACATCAACATAGAACCACTGGAAGGAGCTTGGATCATTTTCAGGAACAAAAATGCTGGGATTTTCACTCCCACGAACAACTCCAATAACTTCTACAGGAGTGATGGAAGGGGTTCGTTCCTGTGTATGCAATAAGTTAAGATTGTATCTTTGGCGTGTCTCAATAACCAAAAACAAACAGAAGTACAGGAGAAACCTCAATGGTTTTTGGCTTTTTGGACCAAAACCTCCACCAAGAGCTTTTCTCACTCCCTTGGGCAGATGCCACTGCTATATCTGACTGCTCTTCATCATCTTGTGAAACTTCCAAAGATTCGTCTTTCCAACTACGGGGGACCCATCCTCTATTGACCAGAATTGGTGACTGCACGCTGTAGGAAAATTATATCAGTTAGCAGAAAGAGAAACAAACATCCATTTATGAGTTCATACAACATGGAGAAATACAAATACCATTGAGGACATGTATAATGAGATTATGTAAAGTCATGTACATGAATGTTGCAAGGGAAAGGATAGATTCTTGAAACTTTCTCTATATATAAGCCTTCAGAAGTCTACTCCACATATCCATGGTTTCAATGAATGCTCGATGCAGAATGACCACAGAAATGGTGTACAGTATAACCCAACATAACTTCAAGGTAGCCTTGGCACTATCTTAAAGTTGGGAAAACATCAACACAGCCAGTATATCCCTTGAAATGGATTTCTTGAGTACTCCTCCAGAGGTTGCAATACATTCTTTGAAGTTCAAAGGGAGCTCAAAAAATTTGAATGGCTGTCTACCACCAATGGTGAAGGGAGTGTCACATATGAGTCAACTATGGTAGATTGATCTATTTACCATCATTCCACAGTTTTTAAAGCAGACTATCTCATTGACACAAGTCATGAGAAACTGTTAGCAATTTCTGCAACTTTTTCTGTATTAACCACTGCTATCATTAAGTTCCTGTTCATAATCAATTCCCCTAAAGAAAAAAGGCTTCTTCAAAACTCTGATTATCTTCATTTACTACTCATTTCAAAAGGAATCAATTGCTTCAGAAATTTTTAGTCCTACCTTTTGCTGGGCTATACAGAATAAATCATTACCATCTCAATCAATATTTTGCTGCCTCATAGACAAGTTACTAAATTGATCTAGTTTATTGTTTCCGATATATTGTTGTTTTATACTGTTATCAGTGTCATACCATATGAACCAAAGTTTTATTATGTTCAATGTTCAGGCAAAACAACACAAGAAAAGAAGAAAAACTTGAATACTATACACAAAATTGCCTTCAACTTCAGAGTGTGCAAGGATGAGATAATATAATAATTACTTTATACAACAAATTACCACATTCAGAACCGTTAATACCCCATATGAAATAAAAATATGAGTCTGTTCATGGTGTCATTTTCATAAAAAAAAAGGCAAGGAGGAAATCAGGTAAACATTGGATTGCATTTCCAGGTCTAACAATAAAACTAGCAACGCAGGAAATAAAGAGAGAACAATTTCACTCTAATGGGTCAAAAGGAGAGAAAATGCAATTAACTTACCAGAGAAGGTAATGAGGCAGAAAGTAAGGCAATCGAGAAAATATAATATTTTACAGGAAAAAGAAAAGAAAAGAAAAGAAAAATATCAGTACGATAAATGATTAGGACACTTGAATGAGTTATAATTTACCTTACAAGTTACAGCTTGGTGGATTATCATGGAAAAGCAGGAATATGTCATATACAGATTAAAAGTAGAAGCAAAGTTGTCAACCTAGAGTGCCTCAGAGAGAGACATGGCAAGCTGCCTGTATTTTTGTCAACACTAAAGGTAAAACCAAAAAATTATGCTTACCTCTCAGGGTTTTGGGGGATTGGCATAAGAGGCGTAATGACATAGTAGCCATTTTCAGTGATTCCAGAAATACTTCTAGAACGTGGTCCCACATAGATTGACCTTTTATCATCAAAAACTCCTTTGCTTGCCACTCTCCTGAACTCTAAAGCATCTAATTGTTCACTGGATGGAGATATATTGTTGAACTTCATAGGTTCCATTGCCAATCTCCTCTGTCTATATTCCAGCGTTTTGATCTGTAGGGAGAAAAAAATATTACAAAAATATTAGTCAAGGAATCACGCCTGTAAACAGCCTCTGTGGTTATATTTTGCACAGTGGCACTATCTAGAGGTGGAGAGGGATAAAATTTTGACTCTATACGATATACACTGTGTTAGAAGCAAAGGATTAAAATTATATATAACATTTATATTCATTTGCTTCCACCAAAAACTTCTAGCCACCTTGAGTCAGAAAAAGAGAATAGAATTAATATTAAATAGAAGAACTTTCGAGCTAAAGAAGATCGCATTAAGAAAAAAAAATGCAATGCTCGATGTTGTACTCAAGCTCACAAAAATTTTGTCTCTTCGCCATCAATTTCAAAATTTCATTGCTTCTATCCTAGTTTGCGAAGCTGCAACTGTTATTCTTTATCTTAGTCCATATCCTAAACGTTTATACAAGGAAGTTTGCAACAACAAACCTTCTCTTGCATAACTTTCCACCCATGTTCTAATACTTGTTGCCACTTTGGTATTTATTCTAATCCAAGAGAGAGATTGCATAGCATTAGAAGGGTCTTAATTTTGCCAGTAAGCAACAAAACACCTTCTGCATTCAACCTTCCTGAAGAAAGCAAATTGATCCTTGGAGAGACTAAAAGACGATACCTCAATTAAGGGTATAACAATCAAGTATAAGTAACCAAAAACCCAAGGCCAACAAAAAAATGTGAAGGAAAACATTAAAGCAAGAACTAAACAAACAGAGATTGAGTATTGATTGCAACAAATAAAAGAGAAATATAGAACCTTGTCCTGCCTTCTAAAAATCTGCCAAGTTCCAAGGCCAAAACTGATAGCTCCAGGTATAAAAAGTAACCATTTGGACAATCTTGAACCACTCTCTTTCTCTTTCGCTGAAAATAAAGAAACCATTTGGAACTCACATAACTAATTCTTGCATTTCTTGATCAACCCAGAAAGAAAGCATGTAAGAAACCACAAAATATATCTAAAATGAGAATACCTGGAGGAGCTTGTTCAGAGATGGTGGCAGCAGCAGCAGAGCTACAAAAGGGAGATAATGGTGAAGAAGATGAAAAGGAAGATGGTACCCAATGTTTTGGAAGGGAAGAGAGGAATCCACTTCTAAGTTGAAGAGAGTTACGGAAACTACTTGTTAGAGTTTTGGAAAAATAAGCCATTTTGAAGACTCTGGCATTTGATTTTTTCTTGAGAATTAAAGAGAGAAAAATAGAGTTTCTTTATTCTTCTTCTTGCTACAGAGGTCTCTGTCTCTGCCAGTTAGGGCTTATGGGGTTTTGACTAGAATGGAGAAAAATAGAATTGTTGAGTTGGTTAATGGGCCTACTTTTAAGTACTAAAACGCCCACTGAGCCTTATATTCAAGCCCAACAATTCTGAAACTAGGGTTTTACTCTATTTTCACACCCAACATGTCCTATATAAACCCTTCCTCTGCCGATTGCTTTCTCTTGCAGAGTATGAAATGGTATCTATCTCACTCTACATGGTTTGATCTTCTGCTTCATCTTTTGTTTTGCAATTCATGGCAAAAACGAAATCAAGAAGAGAAGGCAACGCGTCACTGATGTGCTAATTTAGATAGTGCAATCGGTCCTTTTAGTTGCCGATAATTAATTTCCAACGAGTAAATATGCTTGCAGTTGCCGTTTTCCTTTTTCTATACGGTCTTTTGCATTCAGATGCTCGTACATGTTCCTTATCTTTCTTTTTTTCATCTCCTTTTGTGCCCTTTTTATGTTCTGTCTTATCTTTTCAATTTTCTGAGTTTGTCAAAATGGTTTGATTTTGTTTTCATTGCAAAGAAAATGGATCTCTTCTGTTTTTTTTAAAAAAAATAAATAGAAAAGCGGAAAAAATATTAAAAAAATTACGAGAAAAGAGATTTTGTTTCTTGGAATAAAGTACTATTAAATTAATTTTTTGATGATAAAAGATTAATTAATTAATTTTTAAAATAAGAAATACTATTTAATTTATTTTGTTTCTTGAATTGATTAAAAAAAAAAAACATATTGTTAGGTCTCTCCCGTACTCGTAGTCAAGCTATTTCCACCACCGTCAAGGTCCATATGGGTTTGCCTTAAAGCTTTTGGGCTCCAGTGTAGAGTATGAGTCCATCTATGGTCAGCAGATGAAGTACACGAACAGCCCGATAGACAGGATAGATAATTACATATTTTTAGTGTTTGAATTTTCCAATTTTTTCTTGTAATTTTATTTTTGAAATTTGAATCACTATATTTCAATTAGAAAAAGTTAAAAATTTCAGTCTCTAAATATGTAATGTAACTCTCTCACAATTGTATCCCAAAAACCCATAATTTCCCTCTTAATTATTTTCCAAGACAGCACCGGGTTTGTTATCATTTTGAACAAGCAGTCATTGCTCTTAAGAAGCAATTCGGCGCATCTCTGTTCAAGCGGCGACATATTATTTTTCAATTATCTAATTATTAAAATGATAATAAATCATACTTTGCCAAAAAAAAAAAAAAAAAGATAAATAGGGGTGGAAATTTTTTTGTTGTTATATTAATTTAGAGACGGAATAACGATAAAATAAAATCATTGTTAAAATTCTTATCGTTAATTTTTTTCAGCAATGGGTCGAAAAGCAGCTGCTCATTTGCAATGGTTTGATTTTTATTGCCATATACAAAAATTTTATTATTATATTGATTTAGAGATGGAATAATGATGAAATAAAATCATTGTTAAAATTCTTGTGATTAATTTTTTTTTTTAGCAACAGATCAAAAAACTGCTGCTCATTTGCAACGGTTTGATTACCGTTATTCTGATGTATTTTTGTTGCTATTTTATTATAAATAGTTGTATGGCTAGTATAAAATTGTCGGTAAATAGTTTTATTTTCCTCACTATGAAGCTGAAAATTTGTCATAAAAATTTGTTGTCAATGGCGCTTGCCAGATCATCACTATCGTTATCGATTTTTTTCTTTTTCTCGTTGAGAGTTTAATTTAATTTAATTTTTTATATCGTTAGATTGTCATTGATCTGTTGCTACATAAAGAATTTTTTTTTAATTTCATCGATAGAAGTTTAAATGTTTTTTCGTAATAGCCAATAACTAAAATTAAAATTATAACATGAAATATTAATTAAATAATATTAAATCAATTATATGTATATAATTCAGTGCATGAACACATTAAAAAAAATGGTTAAAAAAATAGTCTTCGTCATCATCTTTTGCTACAGTCTTTTGGATGGAACGTTTAATGGAGACAGCTCGAACCATGAGTTATTACACCTACAATATAACATCATATAATATAATGAATATAACAAATAAAAAATAAATCTGCTACCTCAAGTTTAATATTTTTTTCTACAAGTTAAATAAAATATCCACAGAGTCTCCCTGTAAATTGAATATTTCCTAATTATTAGAGACTTAACCTATATATATATATATATATACTTAACAACATATCTAAAATACACAACACAATGAATATAAATATTTTAAATTAATTATCATCACACAAACATCAATAAAAAATCATATTTAAGCAATCAAATAAATCAATGTGCTCATACCGAGATTGGCACTTGCTACAAATAACCCTTTTAAATTAAAACTCAATCTATGTCCTCTCAATTTCATTTCGAGCATTGACACCATCTTATTTCTTCTCAACTCTAGGGGTCTCTAACCTCTCGAGTTTAGTATGCTATAACGTATCTCAATACATTCCAACAATAATCAGTAAAATAAATACAATATCAATCATCACAACTAACTTAAAATTAGTCTATAACATAAATTATAAATTGGAGTTTTGATAATTACTTACCTTGCGAGTATAAGTGGTTGGAAAATTGCTGGAGTGACTTGCCAACAATGCTACCGACTATTTGGAACAAATTTGTAAATGAATAATTAAAATCACGATTCAAACAACAACTAATTATTTGTTTATATCGGACAAATTTGACCAAAAATTAATTTATGATTTTTTAAATCATAAGTTCAAATAATAAGATATTATGTCAATTTTAAAATTAATATCTTATTTTAAATCCAATAACTTAATTACTAAATGACTCCATCTTTATTTTTAATCATTGTATGTGTAACAAATTATAAGCTCAAAATTGTATCCCGATTTATCAACACCCAAACCTAGTTAATTAAAAATTTTTTGATAAATTAAAAATATACTCAATTAAATTTCAAATAACAAAAATTCAAGTTTTCTAACATATTTACTAACAATTATATATAAAATATATATATATATATATATATATATATATATATATATATATATATGAATGGGTAACATTTCAAACACCCTAAAAACAAGCAAAATCAAGAGTGATACAAAAAATCTACACAAATTAAATCTAAAACATAGATTAGAAGAAAGACATATACCTAAATGAATCGATTAAAAGTTTCCCTTTCAATAGAAAGGAGAGAGAGAAAAGGTGGAGCGAGACCCAAAAGAGAGAGGAGACCATTGGTTGTTGTGAGAAAAGAGATGGTTGGAGTGGCTAAGGAGTGGGATTTGTGAGGTTTTTTAGAGTGTGTTGTAGGTAGCGACGACGCTTTGACGAGGTCAGTATTGAGAGGAGGAGAGGGAGAAGGAAGAAGAAGAGATTCTATCAATTTAAGAATTTAACTTTAGCAACGGACGTGACTCTTTTACTAATCAACGACGGACTTAAGTATCCGTGCTAATTCTAATTTTCAAATCGAGCTTTTTTCATATATCAACAACTAATATGACCCATCATTATTATTGGTAAAGTTAATGACAAACATATCAATCACTAATTTGCGATAAACTAAAGGAATTAGTGACATAATATTGTGTTGCTAATAAACTTGGAACAAAAACCCCAAAAAATAATGATTCATCATTGAGTGCTCTCGCAATTCAATTGCTAATCCGTCGCTAAACAGTACGTGAATATTTTACCGCCTTAATTAATAATGGATAACTTCGATCATTGATAAACCATCACAAATCGATCGGTCTTCCGTCCCTAATATCCATATCTCATTGACAATCATTATTCGATAGCTAATCAATCACTCGGTTAGTGACTACATGATGTTTGTTGCTAAATTACGGTTTTTTATAGTGTTATAATGAATTCAATTCGTATGTATAATTATGAATAATTAAATTATCGCCCTTTCTTTTCTTTTTATGATATTTTTTTCTTTAGAACATACACTAACTCATATATCTTTTTAGATTGTAATTATAATTCATTTTCTAACCTTATTAGTCAATAAATTTGTGGGACTCTATGATTTGTCGAAAAAGGCATGTTAACTACTTTTTTTTTTTGCTTAACAAGATTATTAATTACTCATTAGTTTTATTTGAAGCGCTTACCAATAAGGGATATATATGAATCGTTGATATTTCTTTCATGTATTTTCTCGATTATTCATATGGTTTTATATTTTAGAAAACATAAAAATTATTTAAGCACACACTACAAAAAGAAGCAATGGATTTTTCCATCGCTAATTGCTTAAAATCCATCACTAATTTCGATTAGCGACGGACCGATGACGAACTTCCCGTCAATCGCTATTTTTCTTATCACTAATTTTCAGCGAGGGAAAAATCCATTCCGTCACTAATCCGTAGCTATTTTCATCATAGAACCGTCATGAATTCCATCGCTAAATAGCGACCAAATATCCATAGCTAACGAAGCCCTAGCTATTCCGTCTCTAAAATGAAAAGGGTAATTTGTTGTTATTCGGTCACTAAATTTTTTTTAAAATAATTTTTTTCATTTTATTTTTTATTTTTAAATTATTAATATTGCATTTAATAATTAATATTGGATGTAATAGTTACCAATTAAAAGTAATAACATATAGATTGAAAATGAATTAGTATTAACAATAACATTCAATAGTACGTTCGGTAAATAAAACAAAGTCACTAAATGTTTGTTCTATCACTCATTCTACTTGTCTAATCCCATATCCTTCTCCTAGTACTATTTGGAGGGCTCGACGGAAGAATTGGGTGGGGTCCGAATGGCGAGGTTGTGTGAAAAGAATAGTAGACTGGCCGATCGATCGACGGATCTATACGCACCCTAGTTATCCGTGCCGGCCTCTTCACTAAGGATGCCATCGAGTCGTACCGAGATTTCGGACTATATATGATCATCTCGTTGCTCCGAGACCAAGCTTTGGAGCTCATGTTGTTTCATATGTATCCTTTTCATTGCTTCTTTTGTAGCCTCGTAGTCCCTTCGAAGCTCTTCATTAGTCGGGTCGACAACATAATGCAACGTCACAAAGGAGGAGCCGTCGCCACCCGACTAGGATAGGTAATACACCGATCGTGTGCCTACACCATAATACCATTTCTTCTTCTCTTAGATAGTCTCAAGGTATATGGTATTCTTTTCAACTTTTGGCTCCACGATTCCCGCCATCCGCTGAGCCGCAATTGCCTCCCGGATAGCTCGTTCCACACGATCCTACGTAATCAAAATAATGATATCATCATTATAGGATTAAAATAAAAATTAGAACTATCTTTTCATATTTAATATTTGAAATTAAAAAAACATTTATCTTTATTTATTAGGAGCGTATATCGACGAAAGAACCATCTCTCGCTTGTGAGTCATCCTAAACATTTCAAAACTCGTTGGCTAACGGCCTAATTTTGCCTCCCGAAAAAATCCATTACAAAGAATATGAAAAGAAAATTGAAATTTTCTGAAACATAAAATTAATAATAAAGAGTGTACAATTTACCAAGCGATGGACGTGCTCTTCCACGGATATAGAGCCTCTTGTATGCCTAGAAGGACCCGCACCAGGACCATCGATCTCCGACAACCGGTTCTATATTTATTAATTGAAGTTATCATTTTAACTTCAAGTACATGAAATTTTATCTATATTGAAGCTAAAAATATTTATGTTTATTAAATTTTCCTAAGTAATTTAATAATAAATTCAACTAAATTTAATTTAATTAATCCTAAATAAAATGATTATTAAATTCTATTAATTAATGTTTATAAAATTTTAACGTTTATGTTTATTTTTCAATTACATTTTTATTCCAATTTTCTTATTTTCTGAATGATTAAATCATCATGCATATTATCTTCTTTAAATTTTAATAATTAAACTATAACAATTACTTCTATAATTTATATTCAAAATAACCATAAACCAAATCAAGTAGATTAAATTAATTTAAACTAATTAAGCTAGTAACTAATTCAAACAAAACACAATATCACAAATTAATAATAAATTAAAAATAAATTAACCAACTATAAATTAAAACTTTATTAAGAAATAATCAACAAAATTTAACTAAAGTACATAAAAATATATAATTTAAAAATTAACTTACAACAAACAACTAACCAAATTCACGTAATAATTAACACAATTAATTAATAAATGAATTTAAAATAAATATTAAATATTAAATAATTAAAAATTAATCTAAAATTAAAAAAAAATTAACAATAAATCAACCTTAACTAAATTACATAAGAAATTACCTTAATAAATTTAGACCTAAAAAATTAACATAATTAAAAAATTTTAGATTAAAACTAACATAAAAATTAACCTAAAAATAACACTTAAAAAAATTAATCTAACAATTAAGAAAATTAAATAATTAATTAACAAATTTACACTAATAATTAGCAAAAAAATTAACACAATTGAAAATTAATATAATAATAAAATTAACAACATTCAAACATTTAATCAACTAATAAATAACAAAATTAACCTAAAAATTTATAACATTCATTTAATTTTAGAAAAAAGAGTTAGAGAGGGAAAGTTATATCGAAGAGATCAACAAAAAAGAGCGAGAGATTTCATCAAATTGTGAGGGACAAAGTTGCACCTCACCGAGTTGAACGGTTTTAGGAGTCACTTGGTAGCGTGGGACGACATGAGGGTGGTTTTTTGGCTAACAACGAATTTCCGGATGAAGGAGAGAGGGGACCGAATGGGAAAAAAGAAGAGAAACTAGGTATTTAAAGACTACGAGATTAGCGACCGATTCCATCGCTAATCTGAAATTTTGGATGGGAATTTTCCTACCAAAAAATTCAAATTAGCGATGAATTTTGATTCGTCGCTATTTTTTATTTTTTGGGCGGGAAATTTCAATCCATCGCTAATTTTGAAACTAAAATTAGCAACGGATTTGACAATCCATCGCTAAAATTGTGATTTAGGTAGAAAAACTCTCACCCAAATCGCAAAAATAGCGATGGATTTTTAAATCTATCGCTATTTTTGGTTTCAAATTAGTGATGGATCACTATTTCGTCACTAATTTGAACCCCCGAAGGCAACCCACTATCTTTATTTAGTGATGGAATAAATTCATCGCTATTTATCGATTGATAGCGACGGATCGTAATTTATCGCTAAATTAGTGACGAAAATCTTTCGCTATTTCATCACCGAACATGGTGCTTTTTTTACTGCATTATTTTGCGATGGAATTAACTCCATCACCGAGTTTCCCTCGCTATTTCGTCGCTAATCGGTCATAAAATCACCTTTTTCTCCTTCATCACTAATCCATCATTAATTTATCTCTAATTGGAGACGAAATAGTATCCGTCGCTAAAATCCATTGTTAATTGTCAATTTTAATATAGTGACAATAACCACACCAAGTACTTTTTTTATCGAAAGAATTGCTACTTGGGGTCTTTTAACCGACATGCATCAATCTAAAATCTTAATACCTGCTCTCCAATCACAATGGTTAATAATGCACGTAAGTGTGATGGTATCATGCTTTGCATCTCTTTTATGTAGATATTATTATCAACGAGCACTTCTAGTAATTACATTTAAAAAAGTCATAAGAATTTTTGGTAAAAAGAATACTTATCTATAAAAATAATTAGACATAATCGCTTCAACCTTGTCTACCGATAATGAGAAAATGAAATTCGGATAAATACCAATATTGATTATAGGCGAAAGGATATCAATCGAAACAAATAATTCCCATGGTCTAAAATTAAAAAAAAAAAAAAAAAAAAAGAATTTGTGGCATCAAACAACTTGTATGACAACCGAGTATCGTTATATATCATCCCATCACTCAATTCAATATTTTCCTATCCGCAAATTATAAATTTATGCAATCAGAGGTTACCTTTTTTTTTCTTTTGAAGTAATGAATTAATTCATAGGTTTTACACATATGGAGACCCGGATATAATTCGAATTTTTTTATTGAGATCCTAAATTTTTTTATGTTTAATTTAAGAGTTCTACTCTTGTGTTGTTGTTGTTGTTGTTTCAAACCTTAGCCAATGACAATTTGTCACGTAAGCACGCATAGCAAGCTCTAACAATGACGAGTTTGTTATATTATCAATTCAATAATCCAATTTGAGCCCAAATGACACGTGTCAAGCTATCATTGATTAGAGCTTGCCACGTGTGTTTACGTGGCACATTGTGGTCCGAAACAATAACAACATTATAATAGAACTCTTAAATTTAATAGATAGAAAAAAAAAAAAAACTTAAGATCTCGATAAAAAAAATTTGAATTGTACAGGGTGGGGTTTTGGCAAAACCCATTAATTCACCTCGTGAGATGATGAGGAGATACATAATCATGTAAAAGATCAAAAGAAAACTAAGCTAATCACCAATTAAGGACATTTAAATTTAGTATAGCATGCCAAAAATAGTAGCAGCAGCGAGACAGATCCTATTATTTAAAACAATCTCCGAAGTTCCACCTCCACACCAAAATAAATAAATAATAAAATCAGATTAGTCTCAATGAGATGTGTCATTTGTTTTTGAAAGCTTTAGAATATCGAGACAATGAAACCCACAAAGATAGCAGCAACGAGACCAGATCCTCCAAAGTGAGTCATCCCATAATTTGCTGCACTTTTTGAAGTTGTGTTGGAACCTATAAAAAGAACAGATAACAACAGTAAAGAAGTTAAGATTTCCGCGTCATAAAATACGTTCAAATCTTTTAGCTGACCCTCTAACAAATACCATTTATTTTCCTTTTTCTTTTCAATAGATAAAAAGTAGAATAGGCAAAATGAAAAGTCTAAACCTTTTATTTGCATATTGAGTTTTCACCGATTCATTAAAAAAAAAAAAACACACATGTTCTGAATTTTTTCAATTGAGCACGTAAAACATTTTAGTTAATTAAGTACTTTTTTTATTATATAATTCATTATTATCTTTTTTTCTATTAATATCATCGCTCATCACTCTCTTTGTATTGAGTTCTATTGAGTGGTATTTTAGTAGTATTTTCTTTTTTATCAATATAGGCTACTGTAATCAATTAATTGAAATAAAAAAAAATGTAAGAATCAACAATGAAGATTTTTTTTAATGAATTTGTGAAAATATAAGGTGTAATTAAATAATAAGTGTAGCAAGAATAAAAGAATTTATAGACTCATAACTATTTATTAAGTTCAAGAACTCACCACTTGGAATTGTTGCATCTGGGGTTGGAGGTGATGGAGCTGCCGGAGAACCGGATGGAGCCGTTCCTATTTTCATTAAAAACAAAATTTGGACACGATGTTTGTGAGCATTTTGTGCACATGATGTTACAAGATTGAAGAAATAACATGCAAATAAACTTTCGACCATTAATTAATATTGCAACCAAATGTCATTAATTTTCACAACCTTAAAGAAAAAATGTGTCAAGTTCGAGGGATTATTCGGATATAAATATGGGGAAAGAAAAAAAGAATTCGAATGACATTTTATATATTGTAAATAGGGTAACAGAAAAAAAAAAAAAGAAGGAAATTTGTAGAATTAAAGGAATACAATTAATGATAGGCATTAAACAAAATTTGGTTCCAATTAATCTCAAAAAAAAAAAAAAAAAAAAAAACTGAAAAGCTTAAATATAGGCCAAAAATCATCACCCATTAAACAAGAAGCATTGATCCTTGCTCCATGAACATAATAATAACCAATTTACTATGTACAGAAATTTAACAAAACCAGCAATTATTCTTCAATGCACATAAGAAACAATTGATCAGATCTTGATGAAAAAAAGATATAAGAAAATTAAAATGCATGAAAAAAGAAAAGGAAATTCATTTTGATTACCATTTTTGCAAACTGACATGTCAACTGGGGCACCACAAGTCTTGGCAAGGTTAAGAGCACCATCCCGGGTGACGTTGAAGCTCTTCATGAGATCTGGATTAGTCAAAACACTGCAGAGGCACTGACTTTGATGTTCAACCATGTCTTTCAAGGGTAAGCAGCAAACAGATGGTGGCGGTATGGTTCCTTGCAAATAGGGTCTACATGGGAGCAGATTTTGTAGACATGGCATTTCTAAATCCCCACCATTCCCTGGTTCACTAGAAAACCCTAGAAAGGCACATGATGAGAAGATCAGAAAGAAACTCAAGGTGATCTTTGAATCCATGATTAATCTTTGATGAAAATGAAAACAAAGTGAAATTTTTCTTGAGGAAAAAAAATGTCTCTTAAACTTTTTGTTATTATGCAAGGAATATTTTACATGTAGATAAAGAGTTGTTTTATTTATAGACAAATTTGAGTTGTTTGCTCCTGCTATTTCTCTTAACATATAACTGTTTATTTCATCAATTAATGCAGTAGATAATCTGTAAAAGTTAACAAGTGTGTTTGTTTTTTTTTTTTTTTTTGGTTATATATTTTTTTCAAAATCCCTTAAAAAGAGGAGTGGGATTAGTGCCGGTTACACTACAGCTCATTGGTAAGTAATATATGTATGGTTAAAGTGTTTTATGATAAATAATTGTCAAAAGCCTTAAGAGGGTTGTAGTTGTCAAATTAATGATAGTGAAAATAGCATTGGAGACTCTACAAAATTACTAAAAAAAAAAAAGTGTTAAGACGGTTGTCTAGAGATGATTAGGAGTTCTTGTGTAATACTTTTATATATGTGGCTAAATGGGTCATATCTAGCTAGATTAATTAGTTTTGAAAATACATAAAAATGTTTAATGTTTAAGATAACAGTTAAGGTTTTTATATATATCTATTCTTGCATGTTTCAGATTAACATATTAAAATATCCGTTGTCCTATATATATATATATATATATATATATATATATATATATAGAAAAATGCAATATTGAAATAATATTATCCTTTTACAACAATATTCAACCTCCAATACATCATCAAAGAAAATGTATACGAGTAATATCATCCTTTTATTTAATTTATTTGATTGTAGAAGCATATTATAATCTCATTGAAGAAAAGTATATACTACATAGGAACGTTGCCCATTTAATTATCATTGATCTTTTTGGGTTCACATCATTAAAAATAAAGAGCATTTTAGTCTATACAAGTACCGGCTCAAGGCATAGGCTATTAAGGCCTATGCCTAGGACCCTCATAGAAAGGGAGACCTCCAATTAAAATTTTATTTTAAACTTGCATCGGTGAAGAATGAGATAAATTAAAAGATACGAGCATTTACCTAACTATGAGACGCCATTCTTCTCTCAATTAACAAATCATAGGTACTAGAGTTCCCGCATTGAAAGGCTCTCATTGTTCGGAGATATTATTATTTCAACATTAAAAATTCTACCTTTTTTAGATGTCTTTCCGAGTTACCTTCTACTTATAAAAACTTTGAATTTTTATTTTAGTAAGACATTTTTACTTACGGAAAAGTTTCGGAAAAATATTTGTGAGTGAAACAATTTTTATATCTCCAAATTTTGTTATTATATTCCTGTCTTTCTCCAAACAATCAAGAATCTCTTATAAACCCTTTTCTAATTAGCTTGGCAAAAGAATGTGAAGGTAATTTTTTAATTTATGCAAATCAAATTATGTACATAAATCATAAAATATTTTATTTTTTTCTCAAATTTCTTTTTATTTTTTCAAGTGATTCTCTCCGGGTTTACTTGATTAGTTGTGGCAAGCAAATATAATTAGGTGCCAAAGTTTATTACTCTTTTTATAATTATATTTTAATTTTATTATTTGAATAAAATGTCTACTAGAAAGTATGAATGCGGATATAAAAAAGTAAGAAAAAAGAAAGGTAGAAGAACTAATTCAATCCCAAAAAGGTGCACTTGATAGATTTGTTACTAACATTAAACCCTAAATACTAGAACAAGATAAAGATTTAAATGAAAATATAGTTGAACATTATGAAGAAAAATTTGAAGATAACAATTCAAATTCACCAAAAAGTAATGAACAATATGATGAAAATTTAGAAGATGATGTTTCGATAAAAAAAGTGAAAATATTAATGACGAAGATGCAACAACAATTACAATATTTACGATCCGACACAATGGAAAAATTTAGACTAAAAACTAATTGATTTATTAGTTGAGAAAGGTCCAATTAGAGAAATTTTAGATTTTTCAAAAGATAAAAATTCTATACATTTTTCTACAATTCATTACATTTGAAAATTATCAAATGGAGAAAAACATGATAGAAAATGGCTAGCATATTCAAAAGAGTTAGATAAAGTGTTTTGTTATTGTTGTAAATTATTTAGTTTGAAATCAAATATTCAATTAGCAAATGAAGGGTGTGGAGATTGAAAAAATCTTAATGTCATACTTAAAAGTCATGAGACAAGTAATGAACTTGCTATTAATATGAATATTTGGGTTGATGCTCGGATGGAATTGCTTAAAAACAAAACAATTGATAAGCATTTACAAGAGAAAATAAATAAAGAGAAAGAGCATTGGAGGAATGTATTATTAAGAATTATTGATGTTGTAAGAGTTCTTTTAAAAAATAATTTGGCATTTCGTGGTATAAATGAGAAGATTTATGAGGACAATAATGGAAAATTTTTTAGTTTAATTGAAATGATTGCCGAGTTTGATCCAATAATGCAAGAACACCTTAGACGTATTCAAAATGGAGATATTCATATGCATTATCTTGGTCATAATATACAAAATTAGTTGATAAATATTTTAGCATTAGAAATAGGAAATACCATTATCGGAAAAATCAAAGAATCAAAATGTTTTTCGGTTATACTTGATTGTACTTCATATGCAAATCATCAAGAACAGATGTCTCTTATAATAAGATGTGTAGATATTTCAACAATTCCAATAAAAATAGAAAAGTATTTTATAGATTTTTTAAAAGTGGATGATACCTCTAGTAAATGTCTTTTTAATGAACTTACAAGTGAGATAAAAACTCTTGAACTTGACGTAAATGTTGTGAGAGGGCAAGGATATGATAATGGGTCTAATATGAAAGGTAAACATCAAGGTGTACAAAAAAGATTATTAGATATAAATTCTAGGACATTTTATACACCATGTGGTTGTCACAATTTTAATCTAGTTCTTTATGATATGGCTAATTCATGTGCTAGTGCTATGACATTTTTTGAAGTGACACAATGCATATATTCATTATTTTCTTCTTCTACAAAAAGATGGAAAATTTTACAAGATCACGTTTTTAATTTGACACTTAAGCCATTATCACAAACACGTTGGGAAAGTTATATTGAAAGTGTTAAAGCAATTAGATTTGAAGCTCAACAAATACGAGATGCTTTATATCAATTAGCGAGAAACTAGTGAAGATCCTAAAACAAAAAATGAAGCTATTTTTTTAGCAACATATGAGATTGAAAATTTTGAATTTCTATTAGGCATGATTATTTGGTATGATATGTTGTTTCGTCGTTAATACGATTAGTAAATATTTACAATCTAAAGATATGGATATTGCTCTTACAATAGACTACTTAAAATGTCATATTTTTGTAAAAGCTATAGAGAAAATGAGTTTACATCTTCTCCGATATTGACTAAGGAAATTACGAGCAAATGAATATAGAACTAAAATTTCGTGAAAAGCATACAATAAGAAGAAAGAAACAATTTGATGAGATTGAAAATGAAGATATGAAATTATCTATTGAAGAATCTTTTAGAATTAATTATTTTACATATTTAGTTGATCATGTGATTTCCTCCCTTCAAAATAGATTTAAACAATTTAAAATATATGAAGATAATTTTAGTTTTCTTTATAGTGTAGAAAAATTAAAATCACTTGATGATATTTTGAAAAAAAATTATTTAAATCTTGAAAACTTTCTAAAGCACAATATGCTTTCGATATTGATGGTTTAGATTTATTTTCAGAATTAAAAGTTTTAAAAGAAATTATAATTATGAAAATGAAAACACCACTTGCCATACTAAATTTTATAGAAAAGGTAAATTCTTTTTCAAATGCATGGATAGCATATAGAATACTATTAACTATCCTTGTTACTGTAGCTTCGGCTAAAAAAAGTTTTTTAAAATTAAAATTAATAAAATCTTATTTACATTCAACTATGTCACAAGAAAGATTAAGTAATTTGGCTATATTATCGGTTGAAAAAGATTTTCTTTGTAAACTTGAATACATAAATTTAATTAGAGATTTTGAATCTAAGAAAGTAAGAAAAATAAATTTTAAATAATGTTTAATATTTATTTGTTTTATGAAAGAGCACTAAAATATTATTTTGTCTAGGGCCACATATATTATAAAGCGGCTACTGGTCTACGCCAATACTTATTTAACATAATATCTAGGCTAAAAATGTCAAAAATTTCCTGAAAATTTAATCTATTTGAAAATTAGTCTCTCAATTTCTTATTTGTGTTTTGACTTTTCTAAACTTTTTGTTTTTTTAGATTTAGTCCATTGCATAATCCCCCTCTCCAATCTTTTCTTTTTGTTGTAAAATGAACATAAGGATAAATCAGTTCGTTTAGGTAAGAAAACTTGAAAAAATAAACTAAGAAATCATGTTACGAAAGATGAAGGATAGAAGGAAAAAGAAACGGTGAGGAAGAAGAAAAAAAGAGCGAAAAAGGAATCGGCTTAAGGAAAAACGAAGAGGAAGGGATTTGGGGCTGAATGAGTGACTATGTTGTGGTTTAGTTTTGGGCTAGGCTTAGTTGGTGGTTTAGGCTAGAAATAGGTCATGGGCTTGGGCTTGTCTAGTGGGCCGAAAGCCTAAAAGGCCCAAAGGCCCAACTACTTTCAATTTTTTCTTTAATATTTATTTAACCGAGTCTCCATTGCTCAATTAAATCTAAAATTTTTATGTACGTTTCATGTGTTTATTTCTTGCTTAGGTTTACTTTATTAGAATTTTTAAAGTTCATTTGTCCATTTATTTTAGGTATATTTCCTTTCTAGTTATTAATTGTTCTAATGTTTTAAATTTCAGTTTAGTTTGTTGTTTAATGCTAATTAAGTCTGAAATTTTTAGTAAATGATGGTATGCTTGTATATAGGTTGTGTATCAAATCCTTTAATTTTGTGAATTATTTTTAGAATTATTTAGCATTAGCTATCATTTAGTATCCATTAGTTTAATCGTTGTAAGTGTCGGAACCATAG